GTGGGCGGCCCCGCTGCGGCGCCCGCGGGGCCCAGCCCCTCACCTGGACGGGGCGCGGCCGCCGAGCGCTCTGGGGGGCGGGGGCCGTGGCGCTCGGCACCGCGCGGCGCTCCGGGAAGGAGTGCGGGTCGCCGGGTCGGACTCGCAGCTCTGCCAGGTTGCCGACGGTCACGGACTGCGGGGACACGGAGGTTCGGTTGGGCCTGGAACGGGGCAGGGTGGGGCCGGCGGGCCGCGCCTGAGGGTGGCGGGGGCCGAGGCTAGGGGCCTGCAGGCCCCGGCGGGGCCGCGGCGGGTGGGGGCGGCGCGAGTGTTCCCGGTGGAAATCCCGGAGGGTTGCGGGCACCTTGCGGCGTTCCGCTCGGATCAGCAGCCGCCGCGCGGCGTGCTGAGTGTGTCCGGGTTCGGGAACGGTTCCCTCAGGAAGTGCACGTGGCCGCGGCGGCCGGCCCCACTGTCGGACTCCCTGAGGACTGGATTCAGGGGTTGCTGGCCTGGTCTGCCCTCGCCCCTCCCTTTCCCCCAGGACCTTCTGTTATTTTGGCCATTTTTGCTCAGTGTCCTGGCGGTGCCCTGGTGGTGCCCTTCGAGCTTCTCTGGAAACAAATTAGGATTCGGAGGATCCTCGTACTCTTCTTTAGGAAGTACTTCGAGGCGTTGCGTTTATATCGCTAGAGCCTTTAGAGGTGTCTGCAGGTCCCTCAGTGTCCGGACCTCTCTGCCTTCCGTGGCTCTCCCCGCCAGCACGCCGGGCTGGCCCGAGGTCGGCTGGAGAGGGGTGCGAGGTGCAGCGAGTGCAGTGTGTGTGAGCTCCCCAGGGTCCCGCCGAGTCGCGGAGCCTTCCAGGATCGACCGTGGACTTGGAGATGTCCGGGCTGTAGTGCCGGCGCAGCCTTTGATGTATGGATGCTGAGGTGTGTCCGCGTCGCTTTTACCCTTCAGAGATTCAGGGATTGTGTGTGTTGTGTGTGTGTGTGAATGTACCAGGCTAGCGCTACATTTGGGAAGGTAAATGAATGTTCAGTAATTGACACAGATTTTAAAGCATTTTTAATTTTTGTAATCTTAAGGAATTGGGAAAAATGAAAAATTAAAGATTTATATTCCCGGATAGTTTTTTCCCTAGGGGTAATTAAGCATGCTGGCAAAAGGTGAAAGCATTAGAGTAGCTTGATTATTTACCAAGTAGGCTTGTCCACTAAATGAAAGTCTTTCCTGCTTGCATCTTTCACAGTTGTTCTTAAGATGCTGCCCTTCATTATAAACCATGATGGGTTGTCACATTACCACCAGTCTTTTCCTTTTCTTTTTTTATTTAAAGGAAATAGATTTTGGCAATCTGGTCTTTCTGCTTTTTACTCCCTTTGCCAGGATGGGGTGGGGGGCTTGGGGGACAGGGTTGTTGAAGGTCTCTCTTGTTTTGATTTTGGTATTTTCTCCCAGAGAATTGCATCTGTGCTTATTTTAAATAATAGTAGGTAGATCTGTTTGATTTCAGACCTTCATATTTGCAATAGAAGGTAATAAAAATTAAAAATATTTTCAAAATTTAACTCATAGAATCATTACCATTTATACTCTTGTGGACCACAGTCTTCATGTATCCCAAATACTCAACAGATTGATTTTTTTTTTAATGTTTCATCTTGCCTTTTTGGTGTTTGGTAATCTTAATGAGTCATGACAGTTATTCTAAAATAGTCTACTATGTTGTTGTAGCATTGATTGCCACCATTTGGATTGTTTAAATTGCCAGTTAAAATCAACATCCTTAAAAATGAAATAGAAAATATTAGCACATCAGTAAGGGTAAGGACTATTTTTGTATAACTTTTTTCTCTGTTTCATATACGTATGTGTATTTTGGAGTAGTAAGGTAAAATGGTCAAACTTTTAAAAACAAGTTTATTAGACCACTATATGGAATCAATTCACTGGACTTTTAGTTCTAGCTGTATTATATCTCAATGATCTTGAAAAAAAATCACTTAATCATTTCAGTTTCTTCATTTGTAAGATGGGCTTCAAAGAAATAAAGAGGTAATGCTGGAGAATCCAATAGTACTGCCATTGCCTAGAATACAGTTCATATTCCTAGAGACTACTGTCAAGGAGACATTTGTGTACACTGTGGTGAAATTTGGAGTGTGATGACCTATGTTCAACTCTCCATTGTGTTGATACTAGCTTTCTGACCTGGGTAAGTCATTTAAACTTCTCAGTTTCCTATTTGTAAAATGAAAATGACAGTAGTAACTACCTTCTCGAGTTGGGAAAGTTAAGTGTGAAATTGAGTAAATATTGACATTCAATAAGCATCCCCAAATTATTAGCTTTTACTGTTTGAAATTTTATCCATATCTATAATTCATACTACCATTTCCTAGTTGTTCAAGCCCAAAATCTAGGATTCATTTTCAACTCATTTCCTCACTCTACGACAACCATCAGAAAAGCCACTGGACTATCACTTCAAAACATATCTTGAATTTCTGCGCTCTGTCTCCACTGCAGCCATGTAGTCCAAGTCAAACCACCACCATCTCTCACTTATACCTTTGCAGAAACTAACTTGTTTAATACCTTTCTTGCTCTTCCCTGACCCAGTCTCCATTTAGCAGCACCAGAATGATCTTTAAAAAATGTAAATTGCTCATGTTACTCACCTGCTTAGACTCCTGCAATGGCTTTCCATCATATTTGGAATAAAATTCAGACTCCTTTTCTTAGCTCTCTCTACTTCTCACACCTCATCTACCTTTTCCATCTTCTTTGTATATTCTCCTGCTACATAGGCCTTCTTTTTCACAAATCAAGTCATCAAATTTGTTCCTGTTCTGAGGTCTTGGTGTGCTGTTTCCTCTGCTTCTGCCATATGTCTTTGTTGGGTTGTTGGTTTTCTTATTATTGAGTTTTGAGAGGTATTTATATATTCTGGATTCAAATCTTTTATCATATGTGATTTGCAAATGTTTTCTTACATTCTGTGGCTTGTCATTTTATGCTGTTAATAGTGTCTTTCAAAGAACAGAGTTCTTAATTTTCATGAAATCCAGTTTGGCATTTTTTTTCTTTAATTTTACTGTAATTTACTTGAATTTAAATATGAATTTCCACATGTGTCTACTGAATATTGTATTGGATAACAAAGGTTGAGAGGAAGAGATAAAACAATAATAATAACAAACATTAGTAAATGGTGATAACTTTTATTAAAGAAACACTGATTTAGACAAATGTGAATGTGGAGCTAGACCACTCTGACATTAGGGTGTTCAGCGAAGGATTCTTTTAAGTGATGGTTAACTCTTCTATGGGTGAAAAAGAGCATTAACATACATTAAAAAGATGCCAAGAAATGGATGCAATCGTTCAAAGGTCCTAGGGTAAGAAGAAACATGGTGTGTTTGAGGAGCTGGTTTGCAGATGCTGTAAAGAATTGGTCTCTATGTTTTATAGTCACATTTATTATTTCAACCTCAAGTCATATAATCTACCTAGTTCATCCACCTTTTTTTGCTAATTAGATAATTTGACTATTTCCAAAAATCAAAGATTTTCCATCACTTAGGTTCTTCAAAAGAGTACACGATAGATCTGTACGGTGATTTCTTAAACCGGGGTTCTAAAATATAATAGCAGCATATAAATAATGCTTCTGAATAATGCATTCTGGATAGATTTCTGGATAATTTTTCTGTATAACCATCCCTTAAGATGTCCACATTTGGATAGAATGTTTTGTGAAATGAAATGGAAATACATATTAGAATAATTTCTGTTAGGGATGATTTGTGTCATACTCAAGCACCCTGACCCTTTGGAACTAACTGAAAACTTTAAATAAGATGGGTGATGGGATAGGGAACACGGACTTGCAGGCACAGAAAACCAGTCAAAGCAAAAGGATTTTAAAATAGCTCCAACATTTTTAAATGTGGCAGCTGTTGTTTTACACTTCATTCTGTCTTCTTTCTACATTCTCTGGGTCCAAATCTGTTTATAGCAGCTCCTGGTAGAACACCCCCAAGAGCTGACTTTGGCCATGTGTGTGTCTTATGCTGGAGTTTGAATGAAATATCTTAGTGAGTAAGCATTAGTTTTATTCTTTAATACTGAGGAAAATATGCCCATGGTTAAACCAGTATACTACTGAGTCCTTTTCTGATGTTATTGACAAAGGGAATTGTGTAAAATCAGGTATATGAGATTTTTTTGGCCTGAGAGGAGTATGGAATTATCAAAAACTCAGGTGAATCAGAAATGGCCTGTGTCATCACTAATGTGACCTCTGAAATTCTGACTGTACTTTGTTTCTTTGTCTGTAAAATAGGAGTAATAATCCATATCTTGTTTATCTCACAAGTTGATTTTTAAGGGTCAGAAAGTATATGAATACACATTCTAAAAAAGCACCAAAGCCATTAGTATCTTTTTCTAGGTGAAAGTAGGTATAAAGCAATAAAGAGAGTTTTATTTTTTTTAATTTAATGTAAGAGTGAATACTGTAACTCTTATTCAGCCTGGACTTCCCTAACAAAATACCATAATACTGAGTGGCTTAAAAGCAACAGACATTTATTTCTTACAGTTCTGGAGGCTGTGAATCCCCATGATATGGGTGCCTGCCAGTTCAGTTCTTGGTAAGAGCCCTCTTCTTGGCTTGCATTTAACCCTTTTCTTGATGGATCTTCACTTGGGAGGGATGGAGAGAGGGAATGAAGGAGAGAAAGAAAGGAAGAAAAAGAGTAAGAAAGGAGGAAAGGAGGTGGGAGGGAAAGAGATGAAGATGGAACTAGATGTCTCTGGTCCTTTCTTATCAGACAATAATCTCATCAGAGGGGCCCCACTCTTATGACCTAATCACCTCCCAAAAAACCCACCTCCTTAATACCATTACAAAATACAATTTTCGGGGGAGGACACAAACATTCAGTCCATGACACTGTCCCTTGAAGTACTCACCCTTGAAGGTCATAAATATCAAGTATTATAAGGTAGAAACTTAAGCAAAAGGAAGAATTTACTGTTTGTAATTTATGGAATAGTAAAGGAAATTTTAAAAACCTCTTTAGGTGAATGCCTATGTATATATAATACACATCAATTATATAAGGTAGATATTAATAACTTACTCTTACAGAAAAAGAAACAGCCCTGCCAAGGCTACAAGTACTAAGCAGAAGAGATG